ATTTTAGAATGGGGAAATGCCATTTTAGATTTTGTGTGAAAATTAGTCCTGGACTACAATTTGCTTCACGAAAGTGACGTCATCTAACCAGACACGGAGAAAAACTGAGGGAAAATGGCTGTAAGTTCAGCAAACTTGAAATCCTTCCTTCAGGGGGAAAGGAACCACCATAAATCTGGCCATTTGGTAAGTAGCAGCTACGCTAGGTGAGAGGAGATTCACATATCAAATCAATCAATCAATACTTTATTAATCCCAGAGGGAAATTAGAGAAAAATCTACGTGAATTTTAAAGACACATACTGATGCTATGAAAGCACTTATTTTTGACAGGCAACAAAAATTATTTTAGGTTTTGAGTGAGACATAACGGAATAGAAATATGCATCTCACCAAATTGGAACCAGACACGAGTTTATCGAACCAGACACGGAGAGGCTGAGAGTTTAGCGAGCTTCGAATCCTTCTTTTCAGGACGATGGAAGGAGCATCAAACATGGAGAAAACCACTATAAATCTGGCCATGTGGTGAGTAGCAGCTACGCTGGGGAGAAGAGATTCTCTGGTGACGTCAAATATGTGATGTCTGATTTGTGGTCATTTGTATTTTTACAAGTGAATAAATCTCAAAGTATGTGACAGTCAAAACTAGCATAATTACTTTTCATTTAAATTGAAATACAACCTGCGCGTGATTCAGTGCATAAGGCAAAGCGGATCAGAAAATCACTTATTGCCCCGTTCACTTACTTTCATTTTTTATTTGTTCCAGAGAACTATGAGCTGACCAGAAGAAGAGGAGACTTATAGGTCTTTTCTACCACCCAAACTGGCATGGAATGGGAAGAGTTGGGTTGCTAATTTTTCTGTTCCGATTGTAAAACTGGTCCAGACAACTCACCCGGACCGCGCCAGTCACGGGATTTTCCGGGCTCCCTTCTGTTGTAGGTCCAGAAATTCCTGGAGCGGTACGGTTAGGGTGGAGCAGCAACACAGTCCACTGATTGGTTGACAGAAATACGTCCCTTCTTGCAAACAGGAGAACTAACGAAGTTCTGTTGTTTGTATTTTCGTTAGCTGAACATAAAAGTGAAAAAATTGCAGCAAGTAGCAGCAAGTGTTCACCTTCAGAGTTCCATACGTTTCTCACCTTCACCACGAGAGTCCACAGGAGGAGCTAGATGGATCGGTAGTTTTTTTCTCAGCGGATGGCAGCCGAAGGATTAGAGCAGACGTCGGCTCAGTGTCGAGCCAAGATGAAGAAATTAAAACCCAATATAGCTAATAGTTAAGGACAGAAACAGCCGGAGTGGATTTTTTTTTCAGATGGGAGAAATACACGGAGTTGCTGCGACGCGCAGGCTTCTGGACTTTGCGACTGCACACTGGAGTCACATGTGGAGGCTGTGGTAAGCATTTTGGTTTTGTCTTTAGCTCTGTAGACTATTTATTGCAGCACAGACATATTGAATAGTTTCACAACTTTTAAAATTGCGCATGATGGTTCGTTTAATCCCGCCTGCCGACGTGATGGCCCAAACTGGGATCGAAACGCTCGTCGGAAAATTCCAGACCCATACCGGAACATACCGGTTCAAAAATAACCTGACCGGACCGTTCCAGACCTGGCGATGGAAAAGAAGCTTTAGGTTTCCTTTAGCAGCCTGAGTGGGGAATTGGTGGGCGTGGCCAGCTCCAGCTTTTTCTTTTCTTAAAGTGAAACGGCTCATTCTGGAAGGCATTGAAAAAGTCAAGAATAAAACTTCTGCAATTGCTTTATGTGAGAGGGATTTAGTGCAAAGAACTTCATAAACATATTTTCAAACATAGAACTATTGTAACTTAAAGGGACTTTACGGACTTTTGAATTTTTATGTTTGCGATTGCCCCCTCAGGCCAAAAGCGTAACGGCAGCTTCAATAGTATGCTCGTGCACGAGGCGCGCATGCTGTACGTGCACACTCCTTAACGAAAATAACAGCCGAGACAGTCCCGTGTGTGTGTGTGTGTGTGTGTGTGTGTGTGTGTGGCCCAGAGGACAGAGGACAGGAGAACGTGCAGCTAATTAATTAAAGAATTTGGTTCTGTACCTTTCTCTTCAGCACAGCCGACAAAGGTTTATGATGGGTCAGTCCTTCTGCATGCTCAGATCATTCCCTTCCCTTGCTTGAAAAATTGTTCCAAAATGAAAGTTGAACCCACATCTTTTTTAATCTGTGAATTCAATGCCGTTCGGCGAGTCTCAAATAAAAATTTGGGCATCTTACTGTAAAAAATGTACCATTAATGTAAAAAATAAACTCTAAATGAACTATGTTCACATCCAGAATCGAACCTAGGTCTTCTGCATAGGAGTCAGGCATCTTACAAGGTGAGCTGCACTCTAGTAACATTCACAGTATCTGTACCATTTATATCCTTGATAACACCTGAAACGTCAATCCAAAGAACGGTTCGAAGCGAAAATGGCTATTTTGTTGTTAATCTGCAGGAAATATCTAGAAGTTCTACAGAAAGTAGCTAAGGGTCCTCAGAAATGTAGCTAGCTTTGTCACTAGGCGTTAGAAACAGCAACAAAGTCGCTGACTTGGCACTACCTCTCTGCTGCTAAAGCTACGGATGGCAAATGCTACGGGCTATGCCTGAGCGTGAACGCGCATGAAGCAGCCTGCTCGACCCGAGCAGCTCTCTTTTTCTGTGATTTTACAGAAAAATAGGCAATCACAGTAAAAATGCCAGGGCTCATTCTACAGGACCAGGGCATTGCAGGAGAATGTATGAAGAAGACATTTATTATTTCTATACATGTTTTGGCTGTCTAACTTCCATAATGCCCCTTTAAGAAAAAGTCATAATATGTCCACTTTTAATTTAGAAAACCTCCAATGGAAGTAATTCTAACTATATGATATCTACATTTACACAAAACTCCTTCATGCACCTTTCCCTCATTCTGTCAACACCTGCGCGTCTTTAATGCAACAGCCTACAATCACATCGAGTGCTAAAGACAAAACTTGCTTTTGATGGTCAAATTTGCAGCCTTCATGGGTAACCTGAAGTGCAAAGCTTTGAATTCAGGCCTGCACGACTCACTTAAATGATCTCCAAAGAGAAAATGGAAATGGAAGACCAAATTCAAGGATCAGTGTGCTCACACCTGCTGCACGCTAATTTAGGCTAGGCACAAAAAAAGTAAAAGCATCATTTGTAAAATTATGCAATCCGTGACACTGCAACAGATGCAAAGTCTCTTTAAATCTGCCCCAAAACACCAAATGCAAACAAGAAATTAAAGCTAAGGTCCACGTAACGACTTAAATACCTTAATGTTTGACATTTTAGCTGAGAACCTGATAAACAACAGCTGCTGCTGCTGTTATCACCGGGTTGAAATTGTCCCTGCAAAACTGTGTTGTGTGGAAATGGTCTGAAAGCAATAAAACAACTCCTGTAAACAGCAGATTAGTGCAGCAGGCCGAAACAACTTCATACGGCGTCTCCTATCTGCGCCGAGTATTGTTAAAAAGAAAAACACTTTCTCTTGTGAATTAGAATTACAAAATAGGATTTCGGGATAGCCTTCACTAACATTGAAGTAATTAAGTCTTCTTGTCCCATAAAGACAAGAATAAATCTGGTACAGATCTTCTTTGGTGGCAGAACAATCACACTTAAAGCAAAGAAAACTATAAATTGACTTCATGCAGTGTTTACGGTGTATCCACTCCTCCATCTTGGTCGCTAAAATCTGCCCTTTTTGGCAGAACTTTACCCAGTTTTTCCAACATTCCATATCTAAAAACATGTTGCAAATAACAAATCTGGCAGGAACGGTCTTCAAACAAATGTCATTGCCATTTAAAACTATGAAGTGTAAAAAATAAGAACAAAGGGATCGTCCTTATAAAGCATCCCACTGACTTCCAAACTTTAATCTTTATGGATGTTTGAATCCCGACTCCTTCTCCTCCTCCTATTGTCCTCTGTGTTCTCTCTCGCATGTAAGCTGTCCCACCTCCTCTTCTCTCCTCAGAAATTTAAGAGATGGAACAAAAGTAAAGAAAAAAGATTGTAAAAACGTCTCGAAAATCTGGATTTTATTTGCTGCAGCAGAAAATCCTGAGTTGAACTTTAACTGTTCTGCAAACTTATGCGCAATGATGGAACGACGTCAAAGCCACTAAATTACAGATTTAGAGTAAAATTTCTAAATCTAGTAAAAAATAAAAATGAGATGCAGGTGTGTGTTTTTGCATCTCTGATTCATTTATTATGTTTTCTCTAGTATTTATGTGGTCGGAAATACTATTAAATCATATTTAAATAACACATAATCTTACATTATAAGCATTGTAATATCTTTGGAAATAAATCTGTGGTCACTGTGCACAATTCAAACACTTTACATGCCTAATATACTGATCTGAAATAAGTTATAATTGATTTAACAGCATTCCTGAATAGAGCCAGTGAAATAATAACAGATCTGAGGATGAGTCACTCAACGTGAGCAGGTGGAGGTAATGTGAAGACGCATGGATGATGGGAATTTATTTTGTTTTTATTATCAAATTTCTTTAATCCAAGAACATCTGAGCTATGTTTGAAGAATCTGAAGAGATTAAAATGAGTGTAAAGACTTTATTATTAATAACCTCTGAACATTTCCATCATTCTTGTGTAGATTTCAAAATGTGAGTATAATTTAAAGCTAATAAGGCTCTTTGTCGCTCTGCGAGGACCGCGGCTGAGAATCTGTTTCCCCCACCTAGAGCTGTGCAGGAAAGCAGACAATGTCCTGAAGAAATAAGATTTCAGTCTAACCTTCAAAGGCTAAAAGGAGAAGGTCCTTCCTAGGCTTGGTGATGAGCCCCTGATTTTGAATCTAAACTCCCCCTTAAACGTTTAAATCCCGCATGTTTGGGCAATTTCCACAGCGAGGTGTGATTAAAATAAACAAACATGTCACGCAAGATAGATGGGGTGCGTTGCTTTACCTCTAATCTGAGTTTGGGTCAGGTGGATGAGCAGCAGGATGACAGGAACGTCCATCCGGATCCTCGGAAGTTTCTCAGCCCTCATGCTGCCACCGCGACGCCTCGGTCAGGGGAAAAAGGGCGATTTGTTTGTGAAAACCGTCACTCGACAAAATAAATCCGGTTAAAAGCAGGATGTGTGGGAGGAAAACCACATTTAGCACTCAGAAACTTAGAGAATAAGTTGAAGCCGAGTCCGTGCGTAAAGGCAGCGCCATCCTGTCCTCCGGAACTGGACTGAGCTCAGAGGAGACTCGCTTTGGCTCTCTCTCACACACACACACGCGCGCGCGCACGCACGCACGCGCACTTCCTCTCTCCCCAGGTTTTTTAAAACAAACTGCAAAAATATTTTACATTTGCAGCGCCTCCTCGCGCGCAGCTCACCTGGGTTACCTGTAGCTGCTGTAGCACGGATTTCCTGCACGAGCAGTCTTTTTGTGTAATTCTTACAGGAGCAGAAGCAGAACGCCATTCATAATAAACTCCATTTTATTAAAACATGTCTGAGAAGATCAAAGTCATTCAAGTTGTCAAAAGTCTCATGGAAAATGTAACATATGTGGGAATTTAAACATTTTTGCCACAGAAATACTTCACAAGGATAAATGTTTGTAATTTTCAAGCTATTTAATAACATTTCTATTGATAAAACCACCTACAGCTAAAAGGTTATCCAATATTTACAAAACATGCCACAGTCAGTTCACCTGTAAATGTAAAGTTTCCTCAGTCAACAAGATCGTAACAGTCACGTGGTGTTTTATTTTTAGAAATCTGTTTTTGTACCATGCAGAAATGTCTTAAAGCAACATAAGTCTTAAAATGTTCATACAGAAATGGTCTTGGAAGCAGTTTTAACCAGGACATACTTCCAAATATTTTTCCTGCAGTAAAAGTGTGAAGGGATTTAAAAGCCTGGAAGGCCTCAGAATAAGGATTTATATATGTGCATATTTGAGATCTTGTGAAATTGAGGAGAAATTCTGGCGTTTATTTGTTTTATGAATGAATGAAGTTCCAGTGTGAATTGTACATGAGCATTACTAAAAATGCTAAAGCAATATTGTCTCTTCGCAAAAACTTTTACAGTTAGACCACTTTTGTGCAAGATTATTTTATGGAAGATATTTCAGCTTTTGAAAAATCTCAGTTTGGCGAAACGCTGATAGTGAGTTGTAGCCCTACATGAGTCTTTGTAAATAACTAGATTTGATTCGATCCTGAGAAAAAGTCAACATCTTACCTTCATCTACTACTCAGATGAAATAATTCTGCATGTTTTGCTATTTTCAAGACTATTACCTTTTTTAATCTATTTAAAGACCCACTGAGAACCCATTTTGCTATTTTTGAAACACGATCGGTCATTCAGAGTTTCACATGCAAGCTGAACATTAAAATAGTCGTACCTTTATTTCCTGCATTAGCTGCTGATAGAAAAAGAGATGGAGAAATGCTCAGATTAGAAAAGCCTGACAGATCTACATCACACTTTCACTTAGCGTTCCTGCACTCACCCATCTTGACTCTCGACATAGAAGGCTGTTGTTGTTTCAGTGTCCAGAATACAGCAGAGACCATCTCGGCTAGTAGAAGCTAACCGTTAGCATTAGCAACTCCACCCCACAGCTGAACTCCTCCAGGCTTGTGTTATTCGTGGAGATAAAACATCAGCGTCGCAAAGCAAATGGAGTAAGTGGTAGAGTTGTGTTGCTGTTATCCAATCAGAGGCAAGATGTCCAAATATCAGGAAATAAGACTCCTAATCCTGAGATTCGGCTCACCTCTGCTCTGACTAACTTCTACTTCCTGAAACAGAAGCGGCAGAGCTTCATTTCTCACAGAAATCGAGTCACAAGGCGTTCATTTATACTAGAGACCACTGCAAATGACGAGTGAACTTGGTCTTTAAGGACATGATGACTTGTTTCAACATTTTAATTTGTTTCAGCTTAAAACATTCGAGAAGACACGAAAGGCTACATTCCATTTAGAAAGTTTTCTACTTCTTAGGAACCAACTGCATGCATGCTGAGCTCCAGAAGTCGAATGCGGCTTCTTTTATTCAACCCATGACTTCCCTTCTCCTCTACATCAAACCTGTGAACTAATCAAAAACGGTCATTTGTTCATAATTTAAAATGATACTTTTTGAGCCACTGAGATCAATACGAAACTTCTAAGTTTTAGTTAATAATCAAGACTAATCGGTTAGAGTTCTGAAAGGTTGATGGTCAGGGCCACAGTACAGCTGTTGTACGAAATCAGCATCACATGCAACGATTTCAATTACTCGTTGTTCAGACTTAATTACAGGTTATAATACCATGCAAGAAAAGACGGTGTGTTTTATTCCCATCGGAACAGTCTGTCGTAGCGCAGATGTTACAAGATCCAGAATCTGCAGCAGACAGGAGAACTATCAAACAACGTTATCCTTTACAGAACAATTACATTTATCTGTAAAGAGTACACCAAATATCATAGATACGGTATGAATAAAACACATAAGGATGCATTCCAAATGAAGAATAGCAAAAAGCTTATCTGGAATTCACCAAAAGTCATCGGAGGTCACATTTGTTGAGCAACTCATCAAATTATTAAAATCCCATTACTGTGTCCTAAAAAACAAAGCAAAAGTTAATAAATAAAACATCTCAAGATGATTTTATTATTGGTGCAATAAACAAACCAACCATCTTGTTTGATAGTTATCTAAAACTGGACTGAATTTTCTAAATATTACAACAGATTTTGGTAATGTTTTATAAACCCAAGTGTTGAAATGTGTCCATAAACTTGTCTGTTATTATTCCTTTGGTTTATTCATTCAGCCTCAGCATAAAAAAAGATCATGTATTTATTTAAGCAAAATGAATAATCCTACAAACTAACTTCAACAACAGGACGAGGAGGAATGCAGGCATCAAGTCGCACTGACACTCGCAATTCGTGTTAGAAATGATGATTTTAATGGAAATGACTCATGTTTAATTTTTTTAACCAGATAAAGAAAAAAACTTTTACAGTGATTATCCATCAGACAGACTTTAAGGATTTTTGCTATTAATTTTTGAACTGGGACTGGCTCAGATAAGATGATAATAATAATGATAATAGTAATAATAATGATAATGATAATAACAATAGCATTAATAGCTTATAGCACATTTTATAGACAGAGACAATTCAATGTGCTTTCCATTAGCAAGAATATTAGAATCAAAGTGACAGCACATTTAAATACAAATAAATTTAGATCAAATTAAAGGTGCAGTATGTAAAAATATAGAGAGAATTTTACCACTAGAAAATCCCAAAATAGTCTAATGTTTCAGTTCAATTCAATTCAATTTTATTTATATAGCGCCAAATCACGACAAGAGTCGTCTCAAGGCACTTCACATAATAAACATTCCAATCAGGTCAGTTCATTAAGCCAATCAGAAAAAAGTTTCCTATATAAGGAACCCAGCAAATTACATCAAGTTACTGACTAGTGTCAGTGACTGACTTTACAGCAATCCTCATGTTAAGCAAGCATGCAGCGACAGTGGAGAGGAAAACTCCCTTTTAACAGGAAGAAACCGCAGAGGATCCTGACTCAGTATAAGCAGCCATCCACCACGACTCACTGGGGATGGAGAAGATAGAACACACACACACACACACACACACACACACACACACACACACACACACACACACACACACACACACACACACACACACACACACACACACACACACACACAAATATATACCAAGTAATATTTATATGGTTACATTTAGATTTCTTAGTAAATAATCTACTTAGTTAGAGATAAACTTTATTGTATTTATCCTAGTGAATCTATAATTAAACAGGTAAACTAGTAGTAGCACATTCAATGTCAAGGAAAGTAAAGTGTTATTATCAGGAGAGGGAGAATTAAAACATTCAAGAAGAGTGTCAGTCATTTTGGAAGGAAGGTGAAACATTTTTCATATCTAGCTGGCTGCAGGGATCGCCAGTGTTTTACCATCAGTGAGTGTGGGGTTGCCGTGTCTCCAGCGAGCTAATGCTGCAGCACTGACAAATGTAATTTGATGAAAGCTGACAAAAAGCTCCAGAGTTGTTTAACGGGATATCATTTTAGTTCATGTCTACATAATGCGCCTTTAAAAACACAAATTAATTTCAGACACAAAAATCAGGAAAAAAGACTAAGTTAAAGGGTGGGCAGTTACAGCGCAGAAGGTGCAGCATAAGAAACATTTATTCCTAGGCTGATGAATACATGAAAGTTTTCAATTTTGATGTAAATGTTTCTTTAGTTGGGACATGGGCCTTAAAGGTCACGAGGAAGCTGATTCCATCTGTGTGTGCGGCATAGTAGCTAAAAGCAGCTTCCCTCTGTTTGGTTCTGACCCGAGGTTCTACAACCTGATTGTTTCTTAAGGATCTCAGAGCCCTGCTGGACGTATATACAGGAAGGAGATTCGACATGTATTTTGGCCCCGTGCCATTAAGAGATTTATAAACTAGTAGAAGCACTATGAAAAATATTCTGTAGTTTTCTGGTAACCAGTGTAGAGATTTAAGAACAGGAGTGGTGTGAGGATAATAATAATAATAATAATAATAATAATAATAATAATAATAATAATAATAATAATGATAATAGAAAAACTTGTATATTCGAGTTACATTCAGTCATAAACTTTTAAATTAAACTAAGAGATAAAAAGAAAAATCACATCTTTAATCTGAAGCACAGAAACAATTAGGAAGATGAGGTCTGATTGCCTGGACCACATTAATCAGACACCACAACAGTTTATCTCCACTGAAACCCAGAGGACGATGAGGTTGTTGATTGTCATTCTCGTTTAGGTTGTTTAATTAACAGGTGTTGTTTTGATGCACAAAGAAAACAAAGCAGAGTCCCACAAGAAAGAAAGGAAAGGATAAACTAATGACATTTTTAGATGGAGGAGGTAAGGGCATCCATGATAAACTGCTGCATGAGATAGTTGCATACATTTTAAACATCTAAACCACATATGTCAGAATCAAGGCCCGCGGGCCAGATACGGCCCACGGAGCATTTTTATCTGGCCCACGAGATAAATATCAAAAATATATTAAAACTGGCCCGCTGGCCGATTTTACCGCAAAGACTACAACTCCCATGCTGCTTTGCGGCGTTAGCGCGGAGCCGACGCACCCCCTCTTTGTGTTTTTTTCCAGCGCCTGCTGCCGGTGTCTGCAGCTCCGCTGTCTCGGACAAATTAAACACTCCTCTCA